TTCCTGCCCTAAACCAAAAACTTACAAACTAGTGAGGAAGATACGTATGGAACAAACAATAAATCAATATTGAAGATGAAGTGACAGACATATAGGAGCATTAAGGTAAAATATCTAACCTAGCCTGGGGGATTAGAGAAGTCATCCTGAAGGAAGTGACTTTTAATAAATGACGAGTAATAAATGCTGAAAAAAATTAGTGAGGCATGGTGTACTTAGGGAACTACAAGAAGTTTCATTCAAATAGAGAGCAGCAAGGCTGGGTAATGGGGCTCAAAGGCAGACAGAACCAGGATTCCAGACAGCTTTGAATGCCTTGTTGAAAGGTTAGAGTTCATTCTGAGAGCAATGAAGGTCAAAGGAGGGATTAAAAGCTCAAATCTGACCATGTTATTTTCTGCATTTGAGCTTTAAAAAGTTTATGACTGGAGTGGAGAAAACAAACAATAGAAGGGGCCAAACTGGAGGCAAGAGGACAAGGAGTAAACTGTGTTGGTCAGTGAGATGAGAGATGTTGTTGGCTTCCATTAGGTTTTCCTAGGTCTGTAGACAGAAGTGACTAAATTCAAAAGATGAAGGAGGTAGAACTGACAGCTCTTAGATTTAGAATGGATTAGGAGGGTGGAGAGGGAGAACATGACTTTCAAGTTCTAGGTTTGAGTAACTGGGTGGATGACAGCACCTCAATTGAAATAATGGAAAGGAGGAGGGAGAGGTGGTTTAAAGCCAGGCAGGGTTGAGGGTGGTACAGTAAAAGGTTGCATGTGTTAAGCTTGATACACTGCAACTTGAGATGCTTATGGGGCAGCTGCAGTCTAAGTATGTTAATGATCTTTGTCTCAAGTCTATGGCGGTGTCAAGGGTATGGCGCCTACCTTCAGCATTCCAGTGGTAGCTGAGACCAGGAAGTGGGTGAGAACATTCAAGGAGAGTATGTAGATTAAGGAGACATGTGGATGTGCTCCTGGAGAAGACTCACATACAAGAACCAGCACAAGAAAAAAGAAACAGGGAGAAAAAATAGGTCACAGAAATAGCCCTGGAACAAACTATGGTTCTGGAAATGATGAAGGATGGAGAAATCAAGGGGGAGTGCAGAAGCGTCACTGAATTGATCGTTGAAAAATGTCCCCTGGGGGCGCCTGGGTGGCTTGGTCGGTTAAGCGTCCGACTTTGGCTCAGGTCATGATCTCACGGTCCGTGAGTTCGAGCCCCGCGTCGGGCTCTGTGCTGACAGCTCAGAGCCTGGAGCCTCTTTCAGATTCTGTGTCTCCCTCTCTCTCTGCCCCTCCCCTGTTCATGCTTTGTCTCTCTCGGTCTCAAAAATAAATGAACGTTAAAAAAAAAAAAATTAAAAAAAAAAAAAAAAAACGTCCCCTGGATTTAGCACCAGGAAGGCCATTGTAATCTCACTAAGAAGAGTTTCAGTGGAGAGCTTGGATCAGAAGATAGTTGTAGGTTGAGAAGTGGATGGGAAAAGTAGTACTCTCATGTGAAGGGGAAGAAAGCAACTCCATAAGCCTCATGTTTTCATTAACACAATAGACAATATTTTACATAGTAGTTGTGGGATTAAAGAATACAGACAAAACAAATTAGCCCAGTGCCAGGAAATCAGTAGTCTTCACAAAGCTGTATTAACCATTTGTAATATTAATAATGTTAACAATAAACACAGGGGTGGCTGGCTGGCTTAGTCAGTGGCAGATGTGACTCTTGATCTCAGGGTTGTTGGTTCGAGCCCCACATTGGGTGGAGATTACTTAAAAATAAAATCTTTAAAAAAATACAGTAAATAGTTTACTCTAATTAAACTAGCCCTTTAGTTAGCTCTGCTAGCTAGCCCTTTCCAGCTCCCCAACTTATGGTTTGGCCCCTGGATAGGCAAAGAAAGGCTTCCAGTTCAAGATCTCTATTAGAGGGTAGTAGTTAAAAGAATGGGCTCTAGAGACACAATCGATTGGCATCTGGGATCTGCCACTTACTAGCTGTTTTTTAGGCAAGTCATCTAAACAGTCTGTTTTAGTGTCCTCAATTATAATAGTACCTAATTCCTAGCACTGTTGTGAGGACTAAGTGAGATGGTACACTTAGAATGGAGTATAGCAAAGTAAGTCTACAGTAAATATTAGCTCTCTCTCTATATATATATACACATGTGTATATATATACATATATATACACATATATGTGTGTGTGTGTGTGTATATATATATATATATATATATTTTTTTTTTTTTTTTTTTACTACATCATGGTCAAGAACACTTGGTGGATACTCTCCTCGATCCCAGCAATGTGAATCAGTGGCCACATCTGTGTCCTGACCTCTGGTTACTAGCTGATTGTACAGTCTCTCACTGCTCCCCTGGCATCTGATACTGGTTCCCTTTGCCTTTGGGTCTGGACACACCCCAACTTGGGAGTGCTTCATATGCTTCATATATGCTGGCCTCACCACCTGTCCCCAGTTTTATCTTTGTTATCCCAGTCCTGGTTTCCTAATTCCTCTATCTTAAATCCCCTTCTGCCCACAATCTCCATGTGTTAAAAGCTAACAATAAAAGTCAACGTGTACTGGGTACCTACTGTGTGCTGGGAATTGTCTTAAAGACTTTCCACAACCATAAACATTTCCATGTTTTATACAACAGACTTGCGAGGTAAGATTTCATTTCCAACTTTTCAGATTAGGACAGAGGGCTCAGAGAAATTTATTTACTGTATATCAGAGAGCCTGTCAGGGATGGAGACAGGAATTCCAACCAAGGTTTGCATAACTCCACGTCCCTGTCATTCACCTTACTGTCCTGTAATGTGTTTGAGGAGCACAGTGTGGTGAGTGATCCCAGAGATTAGCAATGGTTTTAGGGAATAGACAAATCTCAATAGGGAATCCTAAGGATCTACCAATTTAGATTTGGGTCAGAGAGATGCATTCAGTTTAGCATTCCAACTGGGAGAATGGCATGAGCCAGGCCCAAGGATTGAAAAGTTGCAGGGAATACAGGAGAATGGAAAGGAAAAGGTAAGTAAACAGAAAATGAGACAGAAAAACACTTATTTACTTATGCTGTGGGGGAAGGAGAGTTATTCATCAGACTTTGGGTCTTAGGATAGTTAAGCACTATGAGTCCCCATTAAGATGGCTGTCTGCCATGCTGACAAGGCAGGATTGCCTACCAATCCTTCACAAGCCACTGCAAGGAGAGTCTCTGTCTTGGGCTCAGCACACTCACGGGACACCGAGGGCTAATGCTACCTGCCTGCCACAGCTTTTGAATGACAGTCTCTTGTCAGGACTGGTTCATGACTCAAGGAACTCAGACCATCCACCTCTGCTTGGGCCTGCCATTAGCGACGACTTCTGGAGGGCTGTGCTTCACCTAGTTCTTATCCTGGCCTAGACTAGATATCCCCACTCTGATCTTGCCTTTCCTCTTCAAACTTTGAGGTACTTCTTTCTATTCCTTCTCATTAGCTGGTTGTGGTCTCTTGTCTATGCAACATGCCCAAGCCAAACTATCCTTTAACCTGTTTCCTGCACTTCTCAGGTTAATGTCTACTGCTTTCCAGAGTTGAAGGATCATCTAGGTCTGAAAACGAACTGCTGGAAAAACAAAACTATTTCCTACCATAAGCAAGTAGAGTCTAGAAATAGGAATTTTTTTGTTACGCTATTTGCCACTCAAGTATTTGATATTTAATTATGGAAGAAAAGGAAAGGAGACAAGTTTTTATGGAAAGGTAGAGAGGCAGTGGGTAGGGATTAGGAGGTTGATGGTCAAAGAAGAGATCTCTAAAAAGCCCTCTGAGTCCTGTAGGGCAGGGACTAGAATGAAGCAAGGGGCAGTAGGGTGCAAAATTTGAAGCACAGACTGTTAAGGTTGTGCAAGATAGGTCCTGGTGCCCTGGCATAGACTGCATGATCAATTACTTCATTCCAAAAACCATTCCTTGACCTTCTTGGCACAGAGTAGTTCCCTTCCCTTTTCCGGGATTTCTAAGTATCTAAGTCCTGTGTTTTTAGTACATCTAACATTTAGTTCTAATCCAGTCTCAATTTTTTTAAGTTTATTTATTTTTGAGAGAAAGAGCAGGAGAAAGGCAGAGTGAGAGAGAAAGAGAAAATCCCAAGCAGGCTCTGCACTGTCAGTGTGGAGCCTGCTGTGGGATTCGAACTCAAGAATAGTGAGATCGTGGGGCACATGGGCGGCTCAGTCGGTTAGGCATCTGACTTCGGTCAGGTCATGATCTCACGATGCGTGAGTTCAAGCCCGTCAGGCTCTGTGCGGACAGCTGCAAGCCTGGAGCCTGCTTCGGATTCTGTGTCTCCCTGTCTCTCTCAAAATTACACATTAAAAATTTTACAAATAAAAAAGTGAGCATCGTAATACAATTTTCAAATGATTATGGTTACTGTATTTTCACTCAACCACTGGTATAACCCCAGTGAGTTGTCAATGATTCTATTAAGTGGAGCACACTATGCTCGAAGGTCAATTTTTTAAAAAAATGTTTATTTTTAAGAGAAAGCGCAAGCATGAGTGGAGGAGGGGCAGAGAGAAAGGGGTACAAAGGGTCCGAAGTGGGCTCTGCGCAGAGCCTGATGCAAGGCTCAAACTCATGAACGGTGAAATCGTGACCAGAGCTGAAGTCGGACATTCAACCAATTTAGCCATCCAGGTGCCCTAAAGGTCAATTTTTTTTTTTTATCAGAGGCTTCCTTTAATCACCCTATGTAAATTAACACCTCACTCTTACTCTCAACCCCCACAACCTGATGATCTATTCTTTCTTTAGAGCCCCTCTCCATCAGGCATCACTAGAAAGGTAAGTTTTATGACAACTTTTAGACAACTTTGTCTATTTTCTTCACTATAACATTGCTAGCTCAGAACTCTTGATACTTAAGCATTCAAATATTTGTGGTGAGTTGGTTAGATGGATGGATAAATATCTCCAAAAGCTAAACACTGACACACAATCATACACAGATGTAACGGTTCAAAAATTATTTTTTTCATCTTGGCACCAAGTGATTAGCATATGCCCCAAGGAAATCAGTATTTGTTTTCTGTAACATCCTCGTTATCTAGAATCTAGAAAACATATCAAAACAAGTAAAATTTGGCATTACACTCTCCTAGAAACAACAGGCTTGAATATTCAGGGATTACAAATTTCTTCTAAAGAATTCAAGAAAATCAATTAATAATCATTCCTCCAAAATAGAGAACACGTCAGTCTTATTCTGGAACCCACCCGTCCCCATAATTTCCCAAAGGCTATCTGCAACTTTTCCAGATACAAATTTTTGTAGAGCCAGCCCAGAAATTTATTTAAACCAACTAGATATCTTTACCTTAGATGTCCATTTTGTCTATTTATGTTTTCCTACTTCAGTCATTATGATTCCAAAAGGTACCAGAAAACATGAAATAAAGGAAATTGGCTACTCTTTTTATCTTCTGTGGTTATAACTACAAATTAGCAATATTACAAAATGCTGAGTCCAGCTTTACCTAGTTTTAAAAACAGCTTAAAAAGTAATTTGAGAGAAACATTTAAAAACAAGCCAGACCGGTAGGTAAATTAAATGTGCTATGCCACTGTAGGCAATAGGCCAATTCTGAAATATTTGATAATGAAAGTGTTCTGGCCAACAAACATATTTTTAAAAGGGCACTTTGGCTTAAAACATTTACCTCTATGAACACGGCCAATTATAATTGAAACTCCTTCTGTCCTTCAAAATCTCACAATTTCATTTTAGGTTCTACTCCTTAAAAAAGTCTTGGCAAACGGTGTACACTTTCAGATCAAAAGAACATCTCGTTAGTAAACTAGAAAAATGTATTTCGGTTCCTTGGTCACTTGGTTTAGGTCCTGTAACAACAAGAAATTAGGGTGTGGAGTATGCATAGCATACTGGTCTGCACGTGTTTAGAAGATGAGAGTTGAATCAGATAAACTTGCTGAACCAATAGAACCAGCTTATGAGAACACAGAAGCTTCCTACTTGCCCAGAGTAGAATCAAATAATGGTTTTCCCTAGCAGTAATGTTGTATTTTTTTAAAAAGTCCGCTGGATGCTCTTCAGAACATAAAATGAAGATGTCATTTCTCTTGTATCAAATGTCCTTTAAGGAAGAAATGACTATAGTTGTAAAACCATGATATTAAAGATGAGTAAGTTAAAGCATGTTGTAATACTACATTTCTAATTTGTTGATTTGGACATTGCATCTGAGGTATTTCTGAAAAATGATAGTTTCCAGATTCTAAACCAAAAAAATCCATGTTACAGGAAAGATAGGGTCTAACAAAAACTACATTTGGAAACATGAACTGGGGGGGTAAAGGTTGGGAAGTAGATTAGAGTTTTTGGGGGGCTTTTTTTTTTTACCACATGCATCAGTAAACATAAGGGGACCATTCACATTAGGTTCTATCCAATAGTCACCTTGTGGGAATTCAACTCTAGGATTGCCAGCTTATTATTCAAGGTAAACCAGAATTCTGAATTTTATGTGAAATTCCCCAATTTTTAAATGTTAACAATGACTTTTTAAAGCACTGTGTGGGCTGTATTCCTATTTGGCTGTACGCTGAACAGGGCACCTAGCCAAGATGTGGGAAAGGGGTAGTGATGAAATTTGGGACTTTTCAACAAGGAAAAAGGCTGGGCTTGCATTGATGGGGCAGGGGAAAGACGTTTCCTAATTCTCACAAAAGTACTTAAGCTGACAGTAGTGCCCCTACTTCTTTGCAATCTCTGGATTAGATGACAGAATGAGAGCATTAAAGCTGGAGATAATTTATGTGCCACAGATCTATAAGGATGGTCTTTTCCTAACAACCCAAGTTACTCATCTGCTAGGCCTTTTTCTTCTTCCAGCAATAGCAATGGATTAGTCTTCCTGTTTTCAGTGATATACCTGTGACACTGTCTTGAATTACGCTACGCACCTGTGTTACTGTTCATAGTAAAAGATACATTATATGTGTTCATATATATCCAGCTGAATCCTAACAACTTATGACCAATTAACAGCTACTGCAAAAAGCTATTCATTATTGAACTTATATAAAGTTCTGAAATAAGTTCTTCCAAGAGTTTGGAGAAGTTATTTATAGAAGTGGGTTGGGCAGGGTTATGTGTGTGTGTTATCTGTGTTTAAATTGATGGCCAAGTGTCTCCTTCTATGTGGAAGAAAATTTCTGTAATACGGCTCTTCCCAGAACTCTCCTTAGTCTAAAGCAAGCACACAGAGGGCAGTGTGGTAGGATACAGGATGTACCAGGCTGGGAATAAGGAAACCTGGTTTCCAATAAAGTCCTGCTACTAGCTAGCTATGTACATGTTTTCTAAGGTTTTTTTCCTTCTTCTTAAAATTGCTCCAAATAAAATTCATGCTTATAAAAATAGCCATTGATGTAAAGACCGGTTTAAGACTTTTAAAAAACTGATAAAACATTTAAGTACAAAATTCCACAGTTCCCAGTGAGGTTTTCATCCCATAATAACAAGAGCACACAATAGATATTATTGGCTCATCATCTCCCTGGCATTTGCAGGCCACCTGGTGCAAATCCACCTGGTCTTGAGAAATTTTGGACTTGAAAGAAGAAAAATGTGGCAACAGAAAAAGAAAAGATGAATGATGATACCTTTTATATCTGTGTGGAATAGGTTTTCTCTTGTCTGCTTTGACAAATGGGAAGAGTTATACAGCCTGCTCTGCCTGCCTCACCTACTGGATGCTGTTCAAGCTCTGTTTTGTTGAACAATCAGATGCCCAACTCTGATGAGCTGAAGATGAGTAAACGCAGTGCTTGTTAACATGGTCATAGGGGCTATCTGGGAACTCTCTAGTTATTATAAATCTAACTGTGGCACAGAAATGTGCAATCTACTTCCACTGTTACTCCATTCCTAGCTGCTTTCTCAAAATCCTTAACATAAGCTCAGCAGAGTTTGTTATAAATAGTTCGTGACTGTGAATCAAAGTATTAATTGATTAAAAAAAAAAAAAAGACTGGGGGAAAATGGAGAAAAAGAAAGCATTGTCAAATGTTTAAAATTAAATAAAAAGTTGTTTACTACCTAGTCATATTTATAACCACTTTAAAACTATTCTCAACTTCAAGTGATTTTATAGCAAAAAAGGTATGTATACATGACTTTTATTTCCATTACACTTGCCCACTAATAATCTTAATAAAAAAGGGAGACTGACAAAGATAATGAAATATGAACTGAAAAGCTTTTAAAAGCAGATGTGATGAAAATGAAATATTGTACATCGATGTCTTAATTATATTTGCAGACTCCTGTTACTTAGTGGGAAAAGCCAGGGCTGCCACCCAGTGGCAATGTAAGTCTTTAAATGATTTTAAGAATTAAAGAATAAAAAATATTTAAAATAATTTTAAAAACACAAAACCAGAAACCTCATGTATTGGACAACTTCAATTTTAACATCAGTAATTTTGTTGTATGAAATGCTTATCTAGAACATACTGAAGAACAGAAACATTTATTTGCTTAGGCAGCACTGGGGAGTTTTTGAAAATATCGTATGATTTCCTAGTAAGTTATATGGCTTTAGTAAGCATTTTAATTAAAATACTGAAGGTTACTTTGCTTAAATTTAAATTCCAGAATTAATAATGCGGGGTTGGGGAGCTAAGACCACAAAATACAGCTGTTTTCTTTCTTCTGTGACCTGCGGAAGTAGATTCAATACTCCAGAGTAGTCTCCCAAAACTTCTGCTTGTTAGTAAACAAAAACCTAATAGAAACCCCTGCAAAAGTAAGATTTTAAAACTAACTTTCTCTAACCATTTGGCACATTCCATTTTTTCCTCAGCTATAATCAATTTTAGTATCTCAGTCGCCAAAACTCAAAGCTAAAAGGAGGAAATGAAAATAGTAGAAATACCATGCCTGGTAATTACTGATGTTCAGAGGTGGGAAGAAACCAAGTAACTCACTGCCTCCTATTTTCCCAACATTTGGCCACAGCTTTTTTTCACACTGACATAGATATCAACATACCCCAAAACAAGATGCCTTGGTAAAATAACAACAGAGAAAGAATAATGTAACACTAAAGCATCCACTTAGAGTTTGAAAAGCTAAATATCTCATACACTGTTTTATTCTCCTGAATAACCAGTTAAGAAAGAAGCATCCCCTCAAAAAATCTTAGAAATTCAGAGATTTTTGTTTCCAATAGCTATAAATTAAAAGTATACAAGACATATTTTCTAACCTATATCCCATTTGTTTTGCTTTACAATGAAGACAATAATTTTTTTAAAATGGGAGACACAACATACTTGATATTTACAATGGCTTACAACAAATACCTGAAAATAATTTCTAATTTTCCATTTATTATTGCTATTTAGTCACAGAAAAGATCAACATTCTCCATGAAATTTATTTTAGCATATGCCATATAATGATATAATAATTTTATATGAAGAGAAACCACTGCGGAAATGACTAACATGGTCCCTTACAGGGAAATAAAGGAAAAAAAAAACCAATAAATTCTTCCATATAAAGACTTCTGATCTGCATCATTTTCTCAAAATATAAAACCTTAATATTAGAAGCAAAAAGAAAAACAGCAAAGAAAACAATAAAAAAGAAGACCAAGGATAAGGAATTGCTTTGTGCAGATGCTTTGCATATGTAGTATATATGTATGGGCTGAGTTATAATAAAAATACTTATGTATTACAGTCATTCTCATGTAGAGTTAGAAAGCAATTTCCAATCAAGCATGACTGGACTGACATTTTCTCAGTCTTCAATTACGTGACGAATTATAGCCGTGTAGCAGTCACTTCTGGTCAGTATTATCATGACAAATGCTTGATAAGATACAGTTTTTCTCCTTGTTCACTTGTAAAAATTGGTGCCTTTTTGTAATGTTCTACAAGTTCTTCCATGGTGCTGAATTTACGCTGCCCAATACAGTAGACAGTCTCTTTTAGTTGAACTTTAAAATGCTTGTTTTTCCCTTGTGCTTTTAGTGATACAGAGAAATCATTTGGCTAAAAGAAAAAAACAGGTAGGGTAAACATTATGAAAGACATCTATTACCATTTTTATATTAAACTAATAATAGCTAAAACCTGAGCACTTACTAAGGCTCTAATTAAATTATTTACATAGATTATCTCCTTTACAACTTCTAACAAACCTATTTTAGAGATGACAAAATTGAGGCCAAGAGAAACTAAAAATCATCCATCTAGTTAATAAGAGAGCAGGATTCAAACTCAAGCAGACTCCAAAGTCTCTTAAATAATATGCTCTAACACCCACCAGCAAATCCTTTAGTTTAACATCTGGGACACAAGAGCTAGCTTTTCTCCTATCAGACTATTGGAGCAACACATGAGAAAACGTGGGCTAATAGTAGCTATCCTACAGACTGAGATAATGCTCTGAATTCTCAGACAGTAAGACACTAATGAGAAATCATAAACTCAAATGCCTACAAGGGGAAAAAGACATGTAAACAAGTTAGAGTGGACAGACAAGGAGGAACAACAGTCCATGGCCAATCCAAAGGCCAATCCACTTAGCTGTGATTGCTGCTTTATAGGAATATAGGCAATGTTGGCAGGCCCTCCAATTTCAAAAGGAAGTCTGTCATCTGAATTTTTGTAATAAATCTCAATATTTAAATACAAATTCAAATGTTTAAAAATATTGCTCAGGTCAAAGAAAATATGCCTGTTTGAGACCTTTACTTTAAAAATTCTACTGGTAAAATGGTGTATTTTGGCTAATATCCGTGCTCAATTACCCACCACAAGAAAATACATAGTATTCTGCAATCAAGCTACTTTCTGAGTTTTTTTGTTTGTTTGGTTTTTTTAACCTAACACTTTCCTGAACAGTCTAAAAGCCTCCATTTATATAGTTACTGCCAAAGTTTCAAACAGTGGGCTTCCTGGAAATACCCTATTCGTATGGTTACTCTTACTACCTGCTCTAGGGTCACTCCCTTCCTAACCCCTATTACCCACTGCTTGTCCTAGAAAGCAGGACCAGGTCAGGCATCTAACAGAAAACAAATCCCACCACTCTTCCCTATCATCAATCCTGCTCTTCCTGAGGGGTTACATTTCCTGAACTTTATATCAAGCAGTTCAATTAGCCTTGATTTCTCCCTCTTCTTTCCTCCCTCCCTCTTAAACATAGACACATCATATGAGTGTGCACACACTCACACCAGACAGGTTTTCTTCTGACTTTCAGTCTTTTGCACAATCACACCTTCACCTCTGTACAACCAGATACACAGAAACAAAGCCAATACTAATGATTTGAAAAGTGGAAAAGTAGTGGTATCCTTTTAAAAGGAAAAATAAAGACCATTTTAAACAGAAATAAGTATCATCAAATTTCTAATACCCTAACCAAGAGCCCATATAGCTATTTTCTTTCAATTTTTGTGGTTTTATAGTTTTACTGTTTTACTAGTGCTAGAATAAAAATGTCTTTTATTGCAAATGCATTTCAAATACATTGAGTATTAAAATAGGTTTTTCAGGGGCGCCTGGGTGGCGCAGTCGGTTAAGCGTCCGACTTCAGCCAGGTCACGATCTCGCGGTCCGTGAGTTCGAGCCCCGCGTCGGGCTCTGGGCTGATGGCTCAGAGCCTGGAGCCTGTTTCCCATTCTGTGTCTCCTTCTCTCTCTGCCCCTCCCCCGTTCATGCTCTGTCTCTCTCTATCCCAAAAATAAATAAACGTTGAAAAAAAAAAAATAGGTTTTTCAGGTAAATAATAAGTGTATTCCAACTTCTAAACAACCAATTTATGAAGAAACTTAAATCTGAATTGTTTTAATTTATGGATTTTCTTTACTAGAAGGATGACAGTGCATCCAATATGCAATTTAAGACATGTTTTCCCAGTTTAGTCTACTGCATTGATTTACTCTGAATGAAGAATCCAGGGTTCAACTTTCTCCATTTTTCAGTTTAATGCGACAGAAGGTATTTCAGAAATGCAAGACCAACAGACTTAAGTAAGGCCGAATAATCCAGTGAGGTATCACTGCTGGGGTATATTTTATTCAAAATAAGGTTGGAAACAACACTGACTTTAGCTTTGGAACATGTTAAGTTTATGTCCCAACTTACTGCCTGGTTAATTTTAGGGAAGCAACTGAACCTCTCCAATTTTCTATTTATTTATTTTTTACTACTCAGAGCTCTATTTCCATTTACCTTTGAAAACCAACTTACCGAAGATTCACTATCACGAATGAGGAAATCACCTTCATGCCCTCTTTCATTTAATGCCATTTCTGCCTGATGCCTGGTGACCTTCCCATAATACCATGGATTGCCAGCAAATTTTCCAGTGAGTGAAGGCCTAATGTAATCACATTGCGGAGGTGATGGTTCCAAACCTGAGGTTAATGGATTATTCTGCATAATGGTAACATAGTTTTTTGGCACCAGACCAACCATTCCATTGATCTTCCTGCATTTCCACCATTCAGGGTCATTTTCAGGTTTTTCAATAACATCCATTACATCTCCTTTCTCAAAATTAAGTTCTTCATCATTGGACGAACTGAATGGGTAAAGAGCCTGTACCACATGCAACACTTGCCCAGTATTTAGGTTATTGACAACTGCTGCTAATTTCTCTGACAGGGAACCCACATGGTCACCCAAAGGACTGTCGCCTTCCTCAGTTACATAGTTTGAAGGGAACCATCCAACTTGTCCATTGTAGCTACCCCGCCACCACCCATCACTGCATTTCTCCATGACAATAACCTTTGTCCCTTTTATCAATGATAATTCATCTTCTCTCTCTGCCATGTAGTTAAATTTCACATAAGCAGGCATATTGAGGTCATAGAGGCGTTCCCCTGGGTCAACAAAGCTTTCATCAGCAGGAGATGCAGAATCTGGCACACTAGGTTTTCTTTTCACTTTTCCAATGCCTGTTGATATAAAAAAGAGTAATAAGAGATTGTAAGACAATGATAACCGAAAAACCCAATTCATTCATTATTAAAAAATATCCTCAACTCTGTAGTTCTTTTAAGCCTTTAAAGTTAGATAACAAATTTCTTTCTTCTTTTTTTCCCCTTTCTTTTTACATCTCCATGACTTGTTTATAACTGGAGGTTTGTACCTTTTGACTTCCTTCATAAATTCTCTTTTCATAACCAAACATGTAAATGCAGTTATTGTATGACAGTTTACCTTCTCATCTTTTCTCTCACCAAAGGTGCTGAAATAATTGTGTAACATAATGACAGTTTTCCTAAATTAACAAGAATTCTTCCAAATGTAAATATAGATTATTTCTCTCACATCTACAACATAAGTAATGAAGGCTCCACCAAACCCATATTATTGTTTTATTTTATTAACCTTGATTCTACAATTAGCTGTACTGAAATAGAACAACAAATTACAACTTGATATGCAATATAAAATTGTAGTTATGTCTGGGTACTCCTTCCATTTGCTTTCTTAGTTCCCAGATCTATGTTTCCCTATTTACCTCATTATGTTTATTTTAAAATAATATATTATTTACTTGTTTGTTTCCCTCACACTATTCACAAGTATGTTCCTCAAGGACAGGATTTTTTTTTTTTTTTACTTTTTTCACAAATATCACACCAAGAATCTTAGAAAATGTTTAGTACATGGTAGATGCCTAATATATATTTGTTGAAAGAAGTGGGAAAAGCACCAAAGAATATTATCACCCTAAATATATGCTACATCAACTTTGGTCAGGCATTTTCACTGCTGATCATTTCTTACACATAATTTTGTGTTGCGTTTTTACTGACAGAACTGAGGCATTTAAAAAGTTTCTCAAACCTTCTGTCTTAGAACTCTTTATTACCCTCTTTTTCTTCATGCAAGTTTTCAACCTCCGATCCTTCTGGGTTCTTAAATACCATTGTTCCTGCTGCTTTTGGGACTCTTGACCATCCTTGCTTTCCTCCTTCTTATTCCCTTCTACTGTCTAAAATCAAACTCAGACCACTTGTATTCCAAAATAAAGTTACTTCAACTCTGCTACTCCTCTTGAACTACACCATTCTTTAAAGAGGTGTCTCCCTGGGGTGCCCAGATAGCACAGTTAGATAAGCGCCACGACTTCAGTTCAGGTCATGATTTCGCCATTCGTGGATTCGAGCCCCATGTCGGGCTCTGTGCTGACAGCTCAGAGCCTAGAACCTGCTTCAGATTCTGTGTCTCCCTCTCTCTCTGCCCCTGCTCGCACTCTGTCTCTCTCTCAAAAAAGAAAGAAACATTTAAAAAAACTGTTAAAAAGGTGTTTTTTCCTTCAACTTAAAAAAAATTTTTTTAATGTTTATTTTTGAGACAGAGACAGAACACAAGCAGGGGAAGGGCAGAGAGAGGCAGGGAGACACAGAATCCAAAGCAGGCTCCAGACTTTGAGCTGTCAGCACAGGACTGACACGGGGCTTGATCCCAGGAACCATGAGATCATGACCTGAGCTGAAGTCGGATGCTTAACTGACTGAGCCACCCAGGTGCCCCTCCTTCAACTTCTTTACCACTCAAGCACTCATTCCCTAACTCCTTATGATCTGGTCCTTTAATCTTTACCATTCTACAAAATCCACTCATTAAACCATTCTTAGAAAAACTGTGTCATTTCTTTACTGCCAAATCAGTACCTTTTAGAGTCCTCATTCTTTTCAAACTCTTTATGTGGCAACCAAGATCACAGATTACTCTACTGTTGTCTCTTTTAACTTCCCTAAAAGCCTCCTGCATTCCCTAGTGACTAAATATTCTTGTGTGCATCTGTCTGGGCTCCTCTAAACCTTGTTATAAAATTGCATCATACTTGTTTCTTGAAGACAGAAAACTAGAAAACTAGATCTTAGTACCTTTGTATCTCCAGTGCCCACACTAGTAATAGGAACAAAGTGAATGTATGCTGAATGAAAAAGTGAATGATTCCTTATAGTTGAAAAGTGTTTCCCAAGATACAGTGCCTGGACTTCCACTCTACTTCAAAGAAATCTTATACTTTCATCTTCCATAACTTCTATATAGAAAGCTCCAAGGTCTCTTTGCAGTTTTAAGCTCTTTCTGGAATTCAAGCACTACAATTCAGACATTGCTATACATCTACCAGATTGTACTCTTAGCACCTCAAGTACAACACTCTTTTCCAAATGAAACTAGCCTCTCCCATAACCATAAATCAACTCCCTCCCTCCCAACTTCCTTACTTGTGGTATTCATGATATCATCCTGAAAAATCCTCACATCAGAGATTTCTGACAGAATAGGGAATTAATTCTAGGGCTCCATCCATCCAAAAAACTAATTAATGAGCTGGCAGATACTGTCAGAATAAACTTTTGCAGCACTCTGGAATCTAGTACAAAAAAAAACTTAGAAAAACCTTACAAAAACTAGGGCAAGGCGTAGTGAAAAAAGCTGCTGCTCTGAAGTAAGAGAATGCTGTGGCATTTCAAATTGCCTGCCCACAATGGCTTTGAGGACAGCAACTGGCACTTCTAATGCCAGAGGGAGCTTATTCTCAAAGAACTGTGATTGTAAGTTTCAACCTGTCTGGCAGCCACGTGAAGGACTGGCACAATGGCTTGCCTTGGTTTCACTGGACCTGGAACATTCCCATTCTTTTACTGAAATCATTTAATTGATGCAGCACGTTGGGGTAAGGGACAACGACCAGGATAAGGAACAGACAGACTGAAGGAAGGAAAAGACAGAACAGCACCTTCAGAGGCCACACACGACAAAGAATACAGAGTTTACAAAAACAGTTTAGGGAAGTCACTAAACAAGCAAACAACAATGCACAATTAGAAGCAACATCAAACCTTAGGAAGGGGGTAGAATCTGATACTAGAAAACGGTCAACCAAGAATTCTATAATTAGTAAAACTGCCCTTTAGAAATGAAGGAGAAATTAAGACACTCCTACATAAACAAAAAATTGAAGGAGTTTGTTACACTAGACTTGTGCTACAAGAAATGTTAAATAAAGTCCTCCAGGCTAAAATGAAAAGACACTGAAAAGTAACCTGAAGCCATATGAGGAAATAAAGAACAACAGTAAAGGTAGCTCCATTCATAAATATAAAAGCCAGTAGTATTAGACTTTTGGCTTGTACATCCTTTTTTCCTATATGATTTAAGATACAAATGTAGAAAATAGTAATTTCAAATCTAGGTAAATGGGCACCCAATGTATAAAAATGGAACTACAAAGGAATAGTTTTGCATACCAGCTAAATTTCCATTAATTCAAACTTGACTGCTAAAAAGTTAAGATGTTAATGGTAATCCTCACGGTAATCACTAAGGAAATACTAAAACATATATAGAAAAGAAATGAGAAGGGAAAATGGTACATGAGAAAAAAAAATCAATTACAAAACAAGACAGTAATACAGGAAATGAGGAGAGAAAAGGCTTAAGACCTGTAGAAAATAAAGAGCAAAACAGCAGAAGGCCTTCCTTATGGGTAATTACTTTAAACATAAATGAATTAAAATACTGGATTAAAGGGACAGACACTGGCAGAATGGATTTAAAAATAAGATCCAACTCTATGCTATCTATAAGCACTCACTTTAGATCCAGAGATACAGACAGGTTGGAAAATGAAAGGATGGAAAAAGATGGTCCATGACAATGGTAACCAAAAGAGAGCTGGGGTGGCACAGCTGTCTGTTAGTATCAGACAACACAGACTTCAAGACAAAAGTTGTTACAGAAGATGAAGACAGACATTATATATTGATAAAAGGGTCAATCCATCAAGAAAACATAGTAATTACAAATATTATACACGCCTAACAAGAGAACCCCAAGACATATAAAGCAAAAAATGACAGAATTAAAGAAAGAAACTGACAGTTCTACAATATAGAGACTTTTTAAAAAGCACAAGAATGCAAAATCATGGCACTAAACCGACTGCATAAAGGACACTTATTTACAATATGAGAGCTGAAACAAAAAAGGCAGAGCATCACCTTGTTCAAACTCAGCTGACAACATGTGCATCAGGCAACTCAAAATTTCTGCCACTCTGCACAAGTCCACAAAGGCATCACAACTATCGATTTGAGGGCTTATAAATAAGTTTTAACAAGGAGCCCAATTCACAAATATGGAATTTGCAAAAACAGGGTTAATCTATACTAGCAAACAATATAGCAGCATATTAACAGAAGTGTACATCATGATAAAGGGTGATTTGTCCCAGGAATGTAAGAGTAGTTCAACATATGAAAATCAACATTATATACTACATTAATACAACAGAGGGAAAAAACCCACATGATCATCTCAACTGATACAGAAAAAGCAATGGATAAAATCTAACATCCTTTCACGATAAAGAGTATCAGCAAACTAGGAATATAAGGCAATTTCCTCAACATCATAAAGGGCATCTATTTAAAAAAACCTACAGTTAACAACACACTCAATGGTAAAAGACTGAAAGCTAAGATCAAGAACAAGACATGGATGCCCTTTCACCCACCTCTATTCAACACTGTACTAGAAGTGCTAGCCAGGGCAATTAAGCAAGAGAATGAAATAAAAGACATCCAAACCAGAAAGGAAGAAGTAAAATCATCTTTATTTGCAGATGACATAACCATATACAGAGAATATCCTAAAAAAATCCACACACAAAAAATGTTACATTAAACAAATTTAGCAGAGTTGCAAGATACAAAATCAACACACAAAAACCAGTTGTATTAATGTACAGCAGCAGTGAACAATCTGAAGAGGAAATTAAGGAAACAATTCCATTTATAATAGCATTAAGAATAAAATACATAGGTTAAATTTATTAATCAAGGAGATACAAGACCAGTATACTGAACACTACAAAGTACTGCTGAAAGAAATTAAAGTAGACTAAATAAATGGTAAGACATTCTGTATT